TCAGGCAGGTGTGTCTTTCACTTTCTTTACTGGAGGAATTGCAGCCACATTCTGCTATAGCAAAAGTGAATTGTGAGACTTCAGTAAATGACATCTAATGCAGACAATTAGTAAAATGATCTACAGTTGATTAACCTTTGTTTCTTTAAACAAAAATCACTGAAATAGAAATTAAAAGGAAAACCCAATAGACTATTCAATATTGTGGCATTATTGCACCACAAATGAGATAATGAGGAAGCATTGATCCTGTTGGGACAGCATAAATACATCCTGACAGACCATGGCTACAAGTGGTAGTATGTTCACCTGCTGATTTCCAGAAAGCAATATTTTCTGAAGAGGGGTGTTGGGAAAATGGGGACATGATCCTGGAGATCTTTGAAAGGTCTGGCCTTGAGCTCCACTGTGAGAAAGTATTTTCGATTATTGAGAGAAAAACAGATCACAGAGCAGAATAAACTTTGGTCGTCTGTGGTCTTGATATGGGTAAGTGTCCTTCCTGTGGAGAAGTCTTATTCTTCCTATGGAGAAGCATATTCAGAGCTCCAGGCCAGCAGTTGGCTGTGATGCCAGGGTATGAACTGTATTTACCTGTGTTAAATAGGGGAGTATATCTATTTTCAACAATCATTAGTGATACATATAGTTGTGTAGTGCCATCTAACTATTTGAGAATTTTCTGCTGTGACAGGCCTGAAAGCATTTCTTCCTTCTTCTTTAATATTTTTGGTAGTTCATGTCTTTTTTCAAGTTATTTGTATTTATTGTAGGCCAGAGGGGTATCTGGCCTTTTGTAGTCTCTAGTCCACCAGGATCCATAGTTTTTCTTCAATTTATCCTCACTAAAGTGTTTTTGCAACCTGCCACTACATTTTCCCGATCTCTCTGATTTTTCTGCCTGCCTCAAAGCACTTTCCAGCACACAGGCCATCCATTCATCCCAAGCCTGATGTACTGCTGATCCCCAGTTGTGCTGTTTCTATCCCTTCAGAAAGCACAACTCCCTTTCCTCAAATCCCTGTATGATCCTTTTCTTTATACTTTGTCTCTACTGGGTTAATTGACACAAGTGCTTTTGCCTCCACAAACTCCCATGACCATAACCCTAGTCTTATGCTTTAGCCTTTGACACCTCTCTTAAGGCTGGAAGATGGAAATGCTGGCTGGTCTTAGGACATCTCTGCTCTCATCCTAATTTCTGTGATATCATTTGTTCACGGATTTGGTCAACTTGCTTTCTTTTACTGCCTGAGTTTTATAAAGGTGGGGAATTTTTACAGAGCTGCCATATGATTTCTGAACACAGTCTGCTTCCCTGCCAGCAAACATCATCCAACTCTTTACACCAGCTGATCTCCACCCTAAAAGCCTTTTTGCCCCACTGCCCTTACAGGAGGGCTATTGATGATTGCACATTTTGGGGAGCTAGAGGCTATTTTCTGATGTCTAGCCTGACTGAACACGCAGCTCCCCAGTTCCCTGGTGCCTGTCATAAGTTCCTGTATCTCTTCTGCCTCCATGGCAACGTTTTGAGGCTGTCATTGGAGCATTGCTTAGTTTTCATTTTGCTCAACTAACCATGACAAGCTTTTTGAGTGGTTTTCTGTTCCCCTGGTCATCCAGTTTTCTGTGTTTCCTGTGGTCAGAGGTCTCTTTCCTGAAGATGTACAACAAGCAGCACACACATCACTTCAGGCAGATCTTTCTAGAGTTTTCTATTAAAATGATCCATAGGGGAATAACTTTTTATGTCTATAATTTGATTTTATTTGCCTTTCTGCTAACATTCCTGTGGCTGTCTAGGATAGCCAGTGTACAAATGATGAGTTTTGAAATTGCTGCAAAAATCCTGATTAGTTCTTGGAGTGCATTTAGTAATTTTTTTAATCAAACCTGGAACCTGCACTTTAAGCAATCAGCAGAAAAGCAAAACCTTTCCATGCTTTATCCATTTCACCTTCCTCCAAAACACTGAGGCAGAATCCTGGCTTTTCTGAGTACGAGGGAATCAGGGAAAATGCCTCCCAGACAGAAAGGTGAGCACTGCACCAGGAGGGCATGGCAGAGTCTGTAGGACTCTGGGGGGTGGCCTTTTCCTGGGCTAGGCTGACTTAAATTTTCCCCACTGTGTAGACACCCTGTTAATCTTTCTGCAGCTCTCAGTTCTCTTTCCCAAAAGGGTGACAGGCGGTACATGTGAGAAGACTACGAGATAATTTGATGCTGCGATAATGTGAGTGCACAGGGAAGTGGGAGACTTACCCTAAAGCATTAATTAAATGTTTTGATGAAATGCTTGCCAAATACTTCACAACACTTCTTTAGATAGAAATTGCTGTAGAAATGTAAAGCATTGTTATAGAATTATTTCAGGTGATCATCCTGTAGCAGTTGAAGTTCTAGCTACAGAACAGGACTTGAATGACACCCAAGTCAATAAGATCAGGATTATAGATACAATTTGCTGCAGACACATACATACAGAAAGAGTAAGAGATGGCTGAGATTCTTTCAGGACGGAAGACTGCCAATACTCTTTCTTAAGGATTATGCAATCTATTCAGTAACTTTTCTTTTTAGATAGATCTGCTTTGGATACTTGCACAGGAACTGAAGCTTAATTTTTTTTTTCTTCTTCTTCTCTGCAGTGTTACTGGCATGAATGGCTTCAATGCTCAGATTTTTTTCTAGCAGGGTGAACCTTTATCTAGTAATTGTCCAGCCAATGCAGCATTACAGGTTAAAACTCAAGTAATTTTTGTTGCTGTTAAATAACAGACACTGCAGAAAGATAGATAAAATGGTCCATTTTTGATAATCCTTTTTTCCATGTAAATCCAGACTAGGGAGGAGATTGTCTTAGATGAGAACAAATTGGGAAGAGCTCTCAGGCTGTCTGATCTCTCTTGTCTGCTTTGCAAAAAAGAATCAGATTAATGAATGTAATCAGATTAAGGCTAAACAAGGGACCATATCTGGGGGGCATCAGAACTCTGCTGATACCAAAGAAATGTATGGAAAATCAACATTAAGGGCCTAACATTGCTCTATCATTTAATTTAATGGAGCAAAATAATGGCTTTCAAAGTGTGGACTGCTGGCAAGAGGAGCACAGATTTCCAAAGGACAAAAAAACTTGAAGGAGCTGGGAAGTGGCTCCAAGTCCCTGACTTTAGGCAGGCGTTGCTTGGGGTAACAGTGACTTTCACAGTCCTCTGGCACATTGACTTGCAGAGGGCAAGCAGTGTGGGGCCTTCTTAGACACAGCCTTAAATCTACCTGAAACCATCTCTGCTATCAGCCTACTGTGTTTTGTATAGAAAAACAATGCTGAAGGGAAGGAAGAATATACACTGAAGAGATAGAGATGGCCAAGGTTCAGAAAGACAAGAATGAAGGAATGACAAAAAGTAGGTATATCTGAAAGAAGGAGGAAGGTGGTAAAAACAGAATGAGAAAGAGAAGATAGAAAGGAAGATGATAGAACAATAGTAGGTCCTCAGTGCTAATGTCTCCATTGCACCTAGCAAACTGAGAGCAGGGTGCACCATGCCAGTGCAGCAATATACCGCTGGCTCCTGAAGTGGCAGCACACATACCCACTGACCTTTGTAGAAGAGGCATTTTAAGTTTTATAAGAGGAGGTAAATAAGAAGTGGAAGTGAAAACAAGAGAAAGAAGTTTAAGAACTTGAGGGCAAAAGGCAATTATGGTTTCTGTTCAGATCCATTTTCTGTCTCTTCAGTGCCATGTGTATCTCAACAAATACCTTTTATCAAGAGAACTTGCTGCTACACATGATGTCTAAATCCTGCTGGCTGTTATGGACTCGCAGCCTGTGCTGGAATTGGGGGGAACACTGTGGGTGTCTGATTTCCAACATGAAGGATCTCTCTCTGTAGAAATGCCCAGGCTTTTCTGGTTGTACTTACATTTATTGACTTTGAAGTTCCCTAAGTTTCCTGAGACAATAAAGGGGATGTTTGATGTGGGGTCTTCAAGACCAACAAGCAAACATGATTAATAATAAATATTATTAATAAAAATAATAACAAGTAACAAGAGATATTGTGAGATTTGAAAGTGGTGTAGCCCAGTTTTCTAAGTTGTTTTTTTGTCTGGCTGATTTGTCTAGGAATTGACAAGCTCTGATTAAGGTTTTCTCCCTTCTTGGGATATTTATAAATTCCATTCCCATGTGGCCTTTCTGGATCTAGTAATCTATGAGTGCCTATTGTAGCACTGTAGCCTTTCGCCTGGGGCATGTAAAGTCTCTACTCCTAACCAATTTTCATAAATTTATTTTGCTATTCGATTGTCTTGGAAACATCTATGGCTCTGTAAAATGTGGTTCCCATCAGTTGTTGGGATCAGGCACTGTTGCACAGACAGACACATATGGCAAGGTTGTTTTAGGCTTTCTTTCCATATAAAACAAAGCTAAAATTAGAGGGGCAGATGGTGGGGCCCCCAATGTTTTTCCTGTGTCTTCCATAATGTAATCAGCTGAACAGAGGTATAGCATATCTCAGGGTGGTATTTCCTTTTGAGGTGAGGCAATTAAATGCGAGCAAAAAAACCTGGGGGGAGCTAAAGGGACATTGCCCCTGGTTGCCATGAAAGAATGGGGAGAGAATGGTGCGAGGTATGGAAAAGTTTTGTTGGTTGTTGCAGTAGTGAGTGGTGCAGGTCATCTTGCAGAGTGTGCACACACCCAGTGAGCTCATGCCGTGCTCCAGGGGTTTGAATTGCAAAGGAGCAGATGACTCCAGCTGCTAGCTGGTTCCCAGTTGACGCAAGAGCGTGCAAATCTATGCAGATCCGTTGTCAGCTGCTCCTCTCTGGGTGGCTGCTGAAAAGTTGTGTGCGCGCGCATGAACTTTCTAGGCTTAATCTGCATTATAAAGTGTGTGTGCGTGCGTGTAAGCTTTCTGCAGAGCTCTAGAGCATATGTGTCATGGGGGGTGAGACCAGAAAAGCAGATGTCCTGAACATGCCCCTCCTACTCGGGGATTAGAGATGCTCAGGGGAGAGCAGAGAGAAGCTGGGACACACCTCCCTGACTCACCACCAGACAGCAGCAGCTCCTGCAGGTTCGGTGGGCCTCTGCTCTTTGGTCAAATAAAACCCTGAAGCTCCATTTCCAGCAACCATCCCCTTCTTTCGGTTAACCAGAGAGGAGGAGGATGGCCTATGCTGAGGAAGACAGGTAAGATGCTGTGAAATAGGGGATGCACAGACATCCCAAGCTGGAAGGGGCTAGCGAAATTGCATCCCTTTTCCTCATCTTGTTTTCCTCTTTTTTTTTTTTCCTACTGGGCACTCAATAAATGTCAGACAAGGGCTGCTCAGAAGTAAACATCTTATTACTGAAGAGGAATCTGGCAATCTGCCTGTGTCAAGTGCTGGTATTATGAAATATGGCAACGAGCAGGTGACCTTGGCAGAGATTATAGGCCAGAAGAGGCAAATATCATGGTGTGGAGAGGCATACACTGCAGATATGTATGGTGGTATGACCTCTGAAACGTAATGCTTTATCTGTTTACTGGGATATGTCTGCTTTTTGCATGGATTTGCTTTCAACCGACCAAGAAGCATAATGAGGGTGGTTTTTTGTTTTTTGGTTTTTTATGCCATAGAACATCTGTCATTGGTGACAGTCTTGTGTTTTGCAACAGATGCGTTTCTCCAGTGGATGACAGCAATCACAATAAAGGGGATTGTGTTTTCAGCTGATCCTGTGATTTAATCCAAAGCGATGCTACTGAGCACTATTTTTAGGTGTGCATTGTTGGAGATGGAGTAGCTATAGAGGGCTTTGTGCTACATGTATTAATTCAGGCTGTCAAAAAGCTTGCACAGACCTCAGGCTCATGCAGTTCCAGGCTAAACGTTGCATTTGGTGACCCAGAGGTCAAACTCCCCCTCTACTCCCGCTGAGCAGGTATCTCCTTCGTATTCAGAAGTTATCTGTGCCTGCTGGCCCCCTTTGATGCTGTGCATCCAGAAAATTTCTGAAAACTAAATATTGGAAGCAGGGCACTGCAGATTATTTTTGGCATCATTGTGCTCTCAGCACTGGGGACAGCTCTGACGTGCCCAAAGCCTTTGGGATGGAGAAGGCTCTGCAAGGCCCCTGCAACCTGCTGAAGCTCCTTTCGGACAAGGAGAGTTATGCAGTGCTGTAGTTTTACAACTTTGGATAAGAAATGTTTTAACATCTTCTGTTTAGAAGGAAAAAAATTCCCCTCAAACTCTGCACACGTCAGTCAGTCCCAATATCTTCAGCAGACATTGAATGGGATTCTTCTCACACTCCTAAAATTTCTGGGATATAGGAATAATATCCATTCTTTAATGTTATTTTGCAAGGGTGCATACACCTTTAAAAAAAATACTGGGGAAAAATAAAGGGGGGATTAATGGTCAAGAAGAGTTGTAAATCCTGGTGACCTCATTCTTTTCTCATGCTTGCCGCAGGTACGTCAAAAGCTTGGGTATTACATTTAAATTCTCTTGGTTCCCTCTGATTTCTAAACAAGGATTACAGTTATTCAACAGAGAAATTGGAGGGGAATCATTCATTAATGTATGTAAAGCACTTTTAAAGCTTTTCTCTGGAAGCAAGGGATAATATAGTCAGTCAAGTGTAGGCTTCATTAATGTCGCTTTCATAGCTTTTGCTTATTTCAGGAGCTCATGGTACACTTGAAAAATGCAACAATATGTTATGGCAAATAAAGTCTTTCTCATTTCCAGACTTTTCCTTTGAAAAGTGTTTCAGCTAAATGACTCTTCTTTTTAATGCATGAATATGCAAGTTATTTCTTCTCATTGGATTGCAGGTTTATAGCATACTCAGGTATTTTTGACATCACAATTTGTAACTAGGAACATAAGTGTGATGTAACAGACATTGGACAGGACTTGTAGCAAGAGCTGAACAGCTGAGAGATGCAAAAGCTCAGAGAAGATACCTGTGCAATAGCTACTTACCTTGTCAGTATAAAGAAAGAAAAAACATAGAACTGAGATCCTTTATTTGAGTATCTGATTCTGTAGTTAAAGAAATCAGTTGTACACTGACACTCAGATTCTCTTCATCAATGGCCCAAGACCTCCTGGAGTGTAGACCACCACTTTGAAAGCTTTTTTTGTATATCCTCTAAGTCTGCAGACAGCAGAATCACAACACAGCTAAGATTTGCACCTCTGCAAACAAGAGACTTGATTAAAAAAAAAAAAAAGAAACATTGTTGAAGCAGACAGTGACTGCTTATCAGCATATTCAGTCAATTTTATAACATCTCACAGTATTGGATTCTCTCATGCCTTAATAAGCAGCTCAGCTTTTCATATAGAGAACCTGCTGCCTCTACCTGCATTGGTTCACTCCATGACCCGGTATTCTATCATATATAGTCTAATTCTACTCATCAATGGTAACAACTGAGTTGCTATCAAGAATGCTGTCAGTACCCTTGCTTTTGAAGAGAGTTTCCAATCAACATTGATATTGACTTTCAGAAGATATTGGCATTGTCCTATTGGAAACAGGATTATGGGATTATTTTGATATTGATTGTGTTTCAAAACTGTGATTAATGCATCTGATGAATACTGGACTGACAGGCCTAAAAAATGAAGTCCTCTCTCTTCCCACAAGACAGATACACAATGGGTGATGTAATGCCAGCTTCTGTCTCACCTTCTAGCAGTGTGCCTCAGTGCTGGATAAGACATATATTTTGCCAAGGTATGTGAGCAGTCCCCCACTTAGATCAGACAACATAAGCCCAGGAGTCCAAATTCCTATTTTTTATTCCTGTTTTGAGTAGACCGATGTCATCAGGCCTCTTGCCTAGGACTAGACTCTGTGTGTGACCCACTGCCCACCCTGTGGGAGAGGGTGACTGAGTTATCCATGTTTGGCCTCTTGTACTGTAACCACAAGGTACTGAGAAGGTGGATGTTTGAGATGGGTTACCAGCCTCAGAAGGAAGCACTGGGAGCTGATGATACTCATCACTTACGAAGACTGGGTTCCCATCCATGTAGATGACACTTACTCAATGTCCCAGTAGTCTACTTATTGCAGAGGAGAGTGTCTACTCCTTCATCCACACAGCATCCCAGCTGTGCTGTACAGGTGCCCTTGGACTTCCCGTCCTCCTGTATTTCCCCATCACAGGCTGGATATCCCCGTGCACACACATATAGGTTGCAATTTCTCAGTCTAACTGTGCTTTTGCATTCCTTCAGTAACTCAGGAGAGAGCAGAGACCATCAGAAGCAGGAGTGGTTATACCTTGTGACTTTTCTGTGATCTAGGTATCATTAGCCATTCTTCCACTACAGAATTAAACCAGCAAAGAGGATTCAAGTGATTTGCCCGTGGCTAGGGATAAAATATGAATTTAAAAGTGAAACAGCTTCAATAAAAGCTCCTATTATTTTAGTTTTAATGACATTTCTTTTTCTTTGCACCTTTTCAGGACTTTTATCCTTTGAAGCTTGTTTCTGGATGGTTGATAGCCTCACTGACATGTTCTCCTTCTGCAGAAATAGCTACGAGGTGTATAAGGAAACAGCAGATTGGTTACTTGCCCACACTGTCCAGCGCCCAAAGACTGCCATCATCTGTGGATCTGGACTGGGAGGTCTGGCCGACGTGTTGGATAACAAGACAGTCTTCCTGTATGAGGACATCCCTCATTTCCCACAGAGCACAGGTTAGCACAACTCTGGGCATCAGCAACCCATCCATCAACAGCCTTCCATTGAGATAGCTCCAGTCAACATGTATCACTTTGGCACTGGCCTGCAAGCCAGTACCTCAGTGGTGAAATGTGTGTTCTCAGTACAAAAAAAAACCCACAACATGTTTTGGTCCTATATTTATTTGACTTTCAACTCCTGGTTTCGCAGTGCTTGGCCCCACTGTGATGCATAATCAACTGACAAATCCCTCTAAAGTCAAAGACCTTGAGACCTGTAACTAAAATGACACTATTAATTTCCAGTTGCAGGGCATCTTGGCAGATTGGTGTTTGGGGAGCTGAACGGACAGCCCTGTGTTTGTATGCAGGGACGTTTCCACTATTACGAAGGATATTCTGTCAGCACGGTGAGTTCTCCTTAAGAAAATCATTCACATAGTGGGAGATATGTTGTAAACGATGTAGAAGTGACTGCTTGCTTTGATACCTAGCTGCAGGAGGCTAGCTCTTGCAGTGAACTTACATTGCTCTTGCAATGAATCTTGCTTAGATTTTAGATTTCTTCCCCAAAAAACAAAATTGGGAGTTCAAATCGAGAGGTAGTCAGCTTCGGTGAGGTGAAACTGATGCTGTGCAGCCATACAAAGTGTTTAGCCCTACTATGCTTGCAGGGCAAAATAGTGCATCATACAAAGCAAATTGATTTACCTAGTTTAATTCTGTCATTTAAGTCACAATTTAAATCAGCAATCAGAAAACACTGGTTAGTGGTATGCTCTCCCAGTTAACCTACAGAAATATGTCAATCAAGTGCTACCTAACATGCACGTATGTACATTTGTTGGGAACACCAGTAATATTTATTTACTGGCTCATAGTTTTGTATGTTCTTTTTTGTTTGGATAGCTTTGAGGATTTAATGGTGGCTGAGGTCTGTTTGCTTTTGGATATAAACTGTAATACTTGGCATCACTCAACTTCTTACAGAAAAAGTATTTTAAATGCACTTGGTACAAAATGAGGTTTGTCAAGACATGTTTGTCCATTCAGATTATCTCATTTCTTAAAGAATTTATGTCCATAGTTAGGAAATTTTCTACTTGCAGCTTCTTTAGTATTTTAGAGGTAGCAGTATCATCCTGATTCCTTCTTGACTCCTCAGAATCAAACTTCTTAAATATTTTTTCCAGTTGCCAATTGTTCCTTAACTTTGGATAAGCAGGTCACTGAAATGAACTACTGTGAATAAAATGAAATTAATAAAGTAATCTCTATGCTTCTGTAAAATGCATCATTGCTGTAAAAAGCTGGTTTACCAATTACACTCCAAGTCCATGTGCATAAGTAGTTACTTCAATCAGCATGGTGGTTTAATCTCTGCAAGACCTTGGCAGCGGGGAAAAATTATCTGCATATTCTTTTTGTACTGCATTTATTTGACCTTAGTGCAACTGTAGGAAATATGGGCTTGAATTTTAATGGTATTCATTTCAAGATTAGGTTTTAATATGGTTAAAAACCATTACAATTCTTTCTATTTAAATTAGAGGAATATTTAAAATTAGAGAAAAGGCTGTTTTGTCTCCTTACAGCCTCATATAGACCTTTCTCTGCATCATGTAAGCTGTCCACAAATTGCAATACTACAAATATAGTATTAGTAGCTGTCTGCTAACTGTAATATTCGTTGCATGTATGCCTTTGTTTCTTGCAGGTAACCTTTCCCATCAGGGTCTTCTTTCTCCTGGGGGTGGAGATCTTGATTGTCACAAATGCTGCTGGGGGACTGAATCCCCACTTCCAAGTGGGTGACATCATGTTCATTAGAGATCACATCAGCATGTTTGGACTGGGAGGACAGAATCCACTGCGGGGACCAAACGATGAAAGGTAAGAAGGCATCAGTTCCATGTTACCAATTAATCCTTTCTTCCTCCAGCCGCAGGCTAGGACTGCCAGTAGTGCCTGCTGGCAAATATTTACTGAGAGTTTGGCTCCAGGTAGCCACAAGAGAAATGTTAAAGCAATAGCTGTGTGTGCTTGTGCCACCTGCCCTGCCTTCCCCAAGCACCCTTCCTTGGCTGTCGCTTACTTTTGCAAGCCTGTAAGGAGTTTATATGCAAACCTCCAGAAGATTTGGTCTTATAAAAGTAGGCTTCTCATCCTTCTGCTGACGTGGCCAAGTGTACCGTCTGCTAAAGAGACCCGCTGCTGTCTCTTCTTGTCAGTCTCTCTCTCTGCAAGTTCCTCTTAATTGAGCAATCTGGTGAACTGCCGTGTCTCCAGCCTGCATTTATCAACAGCCATTTCTGGTGTGATGGAACTGATATGACAGCAGCCAGGCAGTAGGTTGGTAGAAGAGCAAAGGTGAAACCTCTAAATTCCCTGATAACCACCCTTGTATCCAGGTCATTAAACTGGGGTGCCTTTGTTAGCATCATGTATTCATTGAAGGCATGAGTCTGATCAGAGGTAGTTGTCTTGGCAGCCTTTTGGGAGACCTCGAGGTCTACGAGAGTGACCTGCTGCTGGTTGAGCTGGGAAATCAGGTTTCCAATACTAGCTGTGTAGCAGGATCTTTATCCTATGGACCGTGCACAGAGGAGCTTGTAACAGATCCTCACCCCTCAATTGCAGTTGCCACCAGACATAGAGCTTTGAGCAGGAGGTTGGACTAGATGACCTCAAGGTGCCTTTCAACCTGAATTAATCAATGATCTTAAAATGCTTCCAAGTCACTATCAGCCTGGTGGGGTGAAAGGCAACCAGCACTAGCAAGGTCATAGCACTGAGAGGGGACATGCCAAATGGATCAGTGTTTAAAAAATAAGCCCCTTGGGTCTCAAGTTGGGCTAAAAAGAGTGTGAGGGCACATCCACTGGAGTCTGAGGCTGAGCAAAGGAGAGACATCTGATGTCAGGAATGTCAGCATGGAAGCAGTAAAGATCCACAGCAGTCAAAGCCTTATGGCAGGAAAGAAGGAGGCTGGATTGTGATAAGGAAATAACAGTAGCAGGAATTATTTCCTAACCAAGCTGTCGGGAGAGAAGCCAAATGAAAGCTAAGTGTGTGAAGCCAGAGGACAGGCAATGGAAGTGGTGAAGGAGGTGGTAGTTTGTGAGCAAAGAGTGAGTTCAGGTGACAAGATGGTTAAATTCATTGTTGGGTTGTTACCTTCATCTTGAAAAAAGGACACATATGCAAGGCAGGCACCTGGACTGTCCTTAGATCTTCCCAAAAAGAAAGTTCTGTCTGAGAATAAGGTGGTCTGTCTGGCTTTCAGTTAAAGTTATTTCTATCCTGATGTAACACCAGACCTAGCTCCTGCTTCTGAAGAAATCTGAAGGAGAAATACCTCAGGAGAAATAAATGCTGTTTTGCTATTCAAGTGTCAAGAGACCAGTACCCACCTGAAGCAGAATATCTTTACATCTTCATAGGTATTGGTGTGGATTGGAGGAAAGCATGATCAAAGCACAGAAGCTACATGGCAGAGTGTTTAAAGCTCTCTGGACTTGAATAATTGCTCTGGAACAGGAGGAGGAATGCTAATCAAACAATAACTGCACCTGGACAACATTCAGAGGCAGCATAGCTGTCTCATTGCCTCCCAAGAGCAGCTTCCCAGGAAAGACTGCAGTGCTCTGGGAGGTGACTTTTGTACTGCTGACCAAGGCATCAAAATGGGCAAAAGGTCTTTATGGATCAGCTTTCAAAGTATTGCAGAGCTTTAGCTGAGCAAACTCCTCCTAAAATCCAGTCTAGCTCAGCCACAAGGAAGGATTTATCTAAGAACAGAGTAAAACTAGAGGCAATGAAGTGATGTGGAAAGGGAATATACTGCAAGAATCTGAGGACTGAAGTTAAATTAGAGATTGGCTTCCGCATTGCTGGCCATCATTCAGGAAAAAGAAGTAATTTTCATGGTGATGAATACTTATTACTTTAGACCAGATGGGAAAGTTTGGGTTTTCTTTACATAATATTAAGTGTTTATAAACATAAAATAAGCCACCTACTACCCTAAACATTCAGCTGAAAGAACATGTAAACAAGCAGGAGTTTTAGTAGCCCAGATGAAGGATGAAGTGAGTTGGTGAACAGGGCTGGGAGTTTATTTTCCAGATTTCCTCAGTGGCAGCATACCAGCCTTTGCCATCATTCTGCTCTCCTTGAGTCAGTAGTAGAATTCTCTCACTAAGGAGCAGTACCAAGCTGTTGTCTTAAGACCCAAAGCCAGCAAGAGATCCAGCTTTGAAGCATGGGATGAAAGCTACCTAAAATATGGCCCTGGAGCTCCAACATCTGCTACTCTCCCCATTTCTCTGCAAAGGAGGACACCTAGAATGGGATGCCATTGCCTAAACATAGACACGTAATACCATCTGACACTGCTGAGCGTCCAATACTCATTCTCTGGGGCTGGCAGATGCAATATAAAACCTACGGGGGGTGGGGGTGGGGGGTGTGTGCTCTGGACAGGCAGCTTGAGGGGCAGGCAGAAATTACTGAGGCCACTCAAATGGGCAACCGAATTGCACTTCTGACCTAGAAGAGTCTCCTAGCTTGTGCTTGGGGTGATGTTGCTGTGCCAGGACCAAATACAGAACTGGATGCTTTTTCCTGGGAGGTATTTTCTGCCCAGCAATCTTTGTTCATCTGCTTTCCCAAGAAAGTCATTCCTTGAGGCCCTTCAAACTGGTGTTATATAGACAGTAAAAGGGCAAAGACTCAAACTTTGTGATTTTTCCAGTGCATCCAACTCTGTTTCTGTTTCAAGCATGCAGGTGTCAATGTGGGGATAGGAAAGCCCTTGCTGTTGTGGCACAGGGCATCCACTGGTCATGAGCCTGGTTTAGTAGCTGCCTGCTGTGATGAGCCTTAAAATGTAGTGACCAATGCTCCCCCAGGCCCTGCTCAAACCACCTCACTGGGATGGTTGCTGGGACTTGTGTATTGTGTCCAGTTTTGGGCACCTCAATACAAGAGAGATCTCGAGGGGCTGGAGCGACTGCAGAGGAGGGCAGTGAGGCTGGGGAAGGGCCTGGAGAGTAAATCCTGTGAAGAGCCGTTGAAGGAACTGGGAGCGTTCAGTGTGAGGAGGAGAAGGCTGAGGGGAGACCTTGTCACTCTCTGCAGCTCCCTGAAAGGACACTGTAGAGAGGCTGGTGCTGGGCTCTTCTTACAGGTGATTAGTGACAGAACAAGGGGGAACGGCTTGAAACTGCAACAGGGGAGGTTCAGACTGGACATGAGGAAAAAATTGTTCACAGAAAGAGTGGTCAGAGAGTGGGAACAGGCTGCCCAGGGTGGGGG